AGTTAGTATGTGTGTTTTGTTAGGAGCCCCGAGGGCTGGGGTATGTTTCGGGTAGGTGTCGGAATGTTTTTGAACTTAAGAAATTTACAGAAATCTGTTGTTGCTGGTGTTCAGATAAAATGTACTCTGCGATCGCATACTCTCTTCTGCGATCGCGTAGTGTTAATTGGTGAGGTCCATTTTCTGTTCTATGCGATCGCATGGAATCATCTGTGATCGCGTACCTTAGCCCCCTTCGTTCTATGTGTTCGCATTACCCTTCCGCGATCGCGTTTCATTAAGCCAAACCTGGAGTGCTCAGCCCTTTTTCTTCTATGAGTTCGCACCAGCTCTTATGCGATCGCAATGCTTTACCCCCCCCCCCNCCCCCCCCCTCCCTTACCTATGCAATCGCAATCCTCCTTCCGCGATCTCATAGAGCATTCTGCCCCGGTGATTTAAAATTTCCAAAAACCGAATAGTCGGGTTTCATTCAAGATACACACGAACTCCTTCTTCTCCACACCTCCTAGGTGACTTTTAGAGCATTTCTTCACCAAACCTTCTTGGGTAAGTATTATCTAACTCGTTTTATTCATTCTCTATTATCATCTATTAAAATCATAGGCCTAAAACATGTAATCTAGGGTTTAAATTGGGGGAAATGGGTAGAGTTAGGACTTTTCAATTTTCTTCGATTTAGACCTCGTTTTGGGGTCGAATTTAAAAAGAAATTGTATATTCGGGCTCGTGGGGGAATGGGTGATATGAAATTAGTTCGAACCTCGTGTTTTGACTAAGCGGGCCCGGGGTCGATTTTTGGAAGTTTTGGAAGAAAGGTTGGGAATCTATATTTAGGCATTGGGTTTGATATGTTTAGCTATTAGTGATATTATAAAGTCGTTATTTCATAGATTTGATTGAGTTGGAGCCGAATTCGAGAGAGAAAGCGGTCGTTGTGGATTGATTTAGTCGTGGAAGTTGAGGTAAGTTTTTGGTCTAACCTTGGCTTGAGGGAATATGAGTAGAGTCCTGTTTGCTAATTGCTAATTGTCGAGTACGGTGTATAGGCATAGTGATGAGTATCTATACACTAGTATCTAGCATGACCGTGAGTCCTTATATTGTGTTTACTCTGATTTTGTTGTGACTCTTCTATGCTTAATTGATGATTTCTATGTAATGAAAGAGTATGAGAAAGAAATTATGAATTGCAAACCCTTTGGAGCATTGGCTCGAATGATAACGTAAATTATAGAGTAAGAAATTAAAGGAAGAAAAAGAGATGTGATTATTCCCTTGCCGGGTTGTTTTCGTATTTTGATTATCTCCCTTGCCGGGATGTAAAAGTTGTTGTTGTTGTTCCCTTGCCAGGATTTAACTATTTACTTGTGTTTTCCCTTGCCGGGATTTCTATTATTTTTTATCTATTCCCTCGTCCCATTGGTTGTGATTGTTGCTTAGGTGAGGAAGAGTGATAAAGCATGAAGGTTGATGCCGTTCACGATTTGTGTTGAGAATATGTTAATGCACGAAGGAACATTCCGTGCCATGATATTATTACTAATGCACGAAGGAACATTCCGTGCCATGATATGATTACTAATGCACGAAGGAACATTCCGTGCCATGATATGATTACTAATGCACGAAGGATCATTCTGTGCCATGATATGAGTGTTAATGCACGAAGGATCATTCTGTGCCATTATTATGTGAGGTAAAGCATGAAGGGTGATGCCGTGTACTTTATTTGATTGTTTTTGTAAAAATGAGAGTAAAAGCACGATGGATGGTGTCGTGCAACTGTTGATTTCCTACTCTCGTTGATGTTGTAGTTGTACAATTTCATTCCTTATTTATTGATTTAATATCTGAACTGGTAGAGCCCCTATAGCATGGTCTCCTCCCTCTTAACTGGTTAATTTTTGTATTTCTTTCTGTTGCATATATACATATATTGAACTGCATAGGTTTGTTTAGTAGTCTGGTCTAGCCTCGTCACTACTTTGCCGGGGTTAGGCCAGGCACTTACAAGCACCTGGGGTCGTTTGTGCTGATACTACACTCTGTGCATCGTTTTGCACAAATCACGGTGTCGGAGCAGCCTTTGGATAGCAGTAGTAGATTGGGAGATGACCTTCAGTGCAGAGACACCGAGGTAGCCTTGCTAACGTCCGCAGGCCCGGAGTCTCTTCTATCTTTACTTTAGTTTGTTATCCTTGTACCGGAACAAACAGAATTATATTTTATTCAGACATTATATTTAGCATTCTCTGGACGTTCGTGAGTTTGTGACTCCAGTTCTTGGGTAGAGTTTGTATCTTGGATTTTCGCATTTCTTTCTGTTAATTATATTTAAGACTTTCGCTTTTCTATTGAATGTTTCGTTGTTTTTAATAATGTCGATGTTTGCTAAAAGAGGTAATAAATAATTGGCTTGCCTAGCTCCTAACAGTAGGCGCCATCACGACTCCCGAGGGTGGGAAATCCAGGTCGTGACAAGTTGGTATCAGAGCACTAGGTTGTATAAGTCTCACAACTCACGAACAAACTCGGCAGAGTCTGAGGGATTGGTACGGAGACGTCTGTATTTATCCCCAGAGGCTACAGAGTTAGGAAAATTTCACTTTTGTTCTTTCTTGTCGTGCGATTTTGTTTCTCAAATACTGATTGTCTTTCTACTCTGTTCTTTCGCAGATGGAGAGAACACGTGCTTCCTCTTCTACCGCTTAGTAGCCCGAGCTCGCAGCAACAGTTCCTATTAGGGGCAGAGGGCGAGGCCGAGGCTGGGGAAGAGCTCAGCCTCGAGCAGCAGCCCTAGAGGTGGAGCCTCATATTGATTATGACGAGGAGGTTCCAGCTCCAGCAGCTCCGGTGGGCCCAGCTCAGGTCCCAGAGGGGTTCATAGCCACCCCAGTTCTTCAGGACGCTTTGGTCGGATTGGTAGGCCTTATGGAGAACGTCACTCGAGCGGGTTTGCTTCCAGTAGCACCAGCCACTTCTCAGGCTGGATGAGGAGTTCAAACTCCTGCTACACGTACTCCGGAGCAGGTAGCTCCTCGGGCTCAAGTTTTAGTGGTGCAGCTAGCTGGCAGTTCAGCCGGGTATAACGGCTCAGACCAACGATGTTGTGGCTATGTTCGCCGATGCTCTATGGAGATTGGATCGATTCACCAAGCTCTTCACTACCATATACAGCGGTACTTCTTCAGAGGATCCACAGGATTTCTTATATAGGTGCCATGAGGTTCTTCGGACTATGGGTATTGTGGAGACAATTGGGGTCGACTTCGCCACCTTTCGCCTAGCAGGATCCGCCAAGACTTGGTGGAGGGACTATTGTTTATCCAAACCAGTAGGGTCGCCATCCTTGATTTGGGACCAATTTGCAAAGTTGTTTTTGGAGAAGTTTCTCCTAGTTACTCAGCGAGAGGCTCTTCGCAGGCAGTTCGAGCGCCTCCAACAGGGCTCTATGACAGTCACACAGTATGAGACCCGGTTCATTGATCTAGCTCGCCATGCTATTGTTATACTCCCCACCAAGAGAGAGAGGGTGCATAGGTTTATTGATGGGTTGATTCAGCCGATCCGTTTCCAGATGGCCATGGGAGCTGGGAGTGAGATTTCTTTTTAGGAGGCGACCAATGCGTCCTGCAGGATAGAGATGGCTCTTGCATAGGGAGGTGGTCATGGGTCAGATAAGAGGCCCCGTCATGTAGGTAGATTCAGTGGTACCTCGTCCGGAGGTAGAGATTCTTATGGTAGAGGCTATCCCCCGAGGCCCTTTCAGTCAGCTCTCCAGGTCTCTCATGGTACTTCAGGTGGTAGTGGTTCTCAGCCGCATTATTCCGATCAGCAGTCTTTCAGTGCACCACCAGCTCCCATCAGTGCACCACCACTTCAGAGTTTTCAGGGAGGACATTCAGGTCGATAGGGTCAGCAGTCTCAGCAGCCAAGGGCTTGTTACGCTTGTGGTGACCCGAGTCACATTGTCAGATTTTTCCCTCGAGCTTCAGGTAGTTCCCAGTAGCAGGGTCCTCGCCCTATGATTCAGGCACCAGGTGTTCCAAAGCCTGCCCAGCCAGCTAGAGGCGGGGGTAGAAGCCATAGAGGTGGAGGTAGAGATCATAGAGGTAGAGCTCAGACCGCCAGAGGTGGAGGCCAGCCAGTAGCCGACCGTCCTAGAGATGTGGTTCGGGGAGATGGTCCCCAGCCCCGGTGTTATGCTCTTCCAGCCAGGCCAGAGGCTGAGTCATCAGATGCTGTCATTACAGGTACTATTCTGGTCGGTGATAGAGATGCTTCAGTCCTATTTGACCCTGGGTCTACGTATTCGTATGTGTTGTCCTATTTTGCACCATACTTGGTCATGCCTAGTGATGTTTTGAGTATTCCTGTTTATGTATCTACACCGGTGGGTGATTCTATAGTGGTCGACTGAGTTCATCATTCCTGTGTTATGGTGCTTAGGGGTCTTGAGACCCGTGTTGATTTATTGCTCTTAGATACGGTGGATTTCGACGTTATATTAGGGATGTATTGGTTGTACCTGTATCATGCTATCTTGGATTGCCATGCTAAGACCGTGACCTTGGCTTTACCAGATTTGCCCCGTTTGGAATGGGGAGGGACCCGAGGTCATACCACTCGTAGTGTTATTTCATATGTGAAGGCTCGACGCGTGGTCGATAAGGGGTGTTTAGCTTATCTGGCGTATGTTCGCGATTCCAGCGCAAAGGTCCCATCTATTGATTCTGTTCCTATTGTTCAGGAGTTCCCCGAGGTTTTCCTTTCAGATCTGCCGGGCATGCCGCACGACAGGGACATCAACTTTTGTATTGATCTGGCTCCGGGCACTCAGCACCATTTCCATTCTACCATATCGCATGGCCCCGCCAGAGTTGAAAGAGTTAAGGGATCAGTTGCAGGATTTGCTTGAGAAGGGTTTCATTAGAACCAGCATTTCGCCTTGGGGTGCACCGGTGTTATTTGTGAAGAAAAAGGATGGTTTGATGAGGATGTGCATTAATTACCGGCAATTGAACAATGTGACGATAAAGAACAAGAATCCACTGCCGAGGATTGACGATTTGTTCAACCAGCTTCAGGGTGCAAAGGTGTTTTCAAAGATAGACTTGAGATCTGGCTACCATCAGCTGAGGATTAGGGCGTCCGATGTCCCTAAGACAGCATTCCGCACTCGGTATGGGCATTATGAATTTTTAGTCATGTCATTTGGGTTGACCAATGCCCCAGCAGCGTTTATGGAGTTGATGAACCGAGTGTTCAGGCCTTATTTGGACTTGTTCGTGATAGTCTTTATTGATGATATTCTGATATATTCCAGCAGCCAGGAGGAGCACGAGCAGCACCTCAGAGTGGTTCTTCAGACTCTGAAGGATAGTCAGTTATATGCTAAGTTCTCGAAGTGTGAATTCTGGTTGCGTTCGGTTGCATTTCTGGGTCACGTTATATCGGCAGAGGGTATTCAGGTGGACCCGAGAAGATTGAGGCAGTCAAGAACTGGCCTCGACCAGCTTCAGCTATAGAGATTCAGAGTTTCTTAGGGTTAGCAGGCTACTACCATCGGTTCGTGGAGGGGTTCTCTTCTATTTCAGGCCCGATGACCAGGTTGACCTAGAAGGGTGCCCAGTTTAGATGGTCAGACGAGTGTGAGACGAGCTTTCAGAAGCTCAAGACAGCTCTAACTACGGCACCAGTATTGGTTTAGCCCACGGGTTCAGGGCCTTATACAGTCTATTGTGATGCTTCTCGTAGTGGGCTTGGTGCAGCATTGATGCAGGACGACAGAGTCATTGCCTATGCTTCGAGGCAGTTGAAGCTCCACGAGAAGAATTATCTGGTTCATGATCTTGAGTTGGCAGCCATCGTTCATGCATTGAAGATTTGGAGGAATTATTTGTATGGTGTGACATGTGAGGTTTACACTCATCACAAGAGTCTTCAGTATCTGTTCAAACAAAAAGAGTTGAATTTGAGGCAGAGAAGGTGGTTGGAGTTGTTGAAAGATTATGATGTTACTATCTTGTATCACCCGGGAAAGGCCAATGTGGTGGCCGATGCATTGAGTAGGAAGTCCGCCAGCATGGGTAGTCTTGCTTATTTTCTGGTCAGCCGAAGATCGCTTGCTTTGGATGTTCAGGCCTTGGCCAATAGACTTGTGAGGTTGTATATTTCTGAGCCTAGCAGAGTGTTAGCCTGCACGGTTGCTCGTTCTTCATTATTAGAGCGTATCCGTGATCGGCAGTTTGATGATCACCATTTGTGTGTCCTGAGAGACACGGTGCAGCGTGGATGTGCCAAGAAGGTGACCTTAGATGATGATGGTGTTTTGAGATTGCAGGGGCGAGTTTGTATGCCTAATGTTGATGGGATTCGAGAGTTGATCTTAGCGGAGGCCCATAGTTCCCGGTATTCTATTTACCCAAGCGACGCGAAGATGTATCAGGATCTGAGGCAACACTATTGGTGGCGTAGAATGAAGAAAGATATAGTTAAATATGTGGCTCGATGTTTGAACTGTCAGCAGGTTAAGTATGAGCATCAGAGGCCTGGTGGATTGTTTCAAAGGATTGAGCTTCTCGAGTGGAACTGGGAGAGGATTACCATGGATTTCGTTACGGGACTTCCGATGACTCGGAATAAGTTCGATGTAGTTTGGGTCATTGTTGATAGGCTGACCAAGTCAGCGCAATTTGTTCCTGTTGCAGCCACCTATTCATCCGAGAGATTACCTGAGATCTACATTAAAGAGATTGTTCGCCTTCATGGGGTGCCAGTATCTATCATTTCGGACAGGGGTACGCAGTTTACCTCGCGCTTCTAGAAAACAGTTCAGCGAGACTTGGGGACCCAGGTTGAGTTGAGTACAGCATTTCATCCCTAGACGAACGGTCAGTCCGAGAGGACTATTCAGATTCTAGAGGATATGCTCCGAGCCTATGTCATTGATTTTGGAGGCTCGTGGGACCAGTTTTTGCCTTTAGCAGAGTTCGCCTACAACAACAGCTACTGTCCAGCATTCAGATGGCTCCATATGAGGCATTGTATGGTAGGCGATGTCGGTCTCCATATGGATGGTTTGAGCCAGGAGAGGCTCGGTTATTGGGTACGGATCTGGTTCAGGAGGCCTTGGATAAGGTTCGAATTATTCAGGATAGGCTTCGTACAGCTCAGTCCATGCAGAAGATTTATGCAGACCACAAGGTTCGAGATGTTGCTTTTATTGTTGGTGAGTGAGTATTGCTCTGTGTGTCGCCTATGAAAGGCGTGATGAGATTCGGGAAGAAGCGCAAGCTTAGCCCTAGGTTCATTGGTCCGTTTGAGATTCTCGATCGTGTGGGAGAGGTGGATTATAGACTTGCCTTGCCACCTAGCTTGTCAGCTGTGCATCCAGTGTTTCCTATGTCTATGCTCCGGAAGTATCACGGCGATCCATCCCACGTGTTAGATTTTAGCACTGTCCAGATGGACAAGGATCTGTCTTACGAAGAGGAGCAGGTGGCCATTTTAGACCGGCATGTTCGACAGTTGAGGTCGAAGAGTTTTCCTTCAGTGCGTGTTCAGTGGAGAGGTCAGCCTCCTGAGGCATCGACCTGGGAGTCTGATATGCGGAGCCGTTATCCTCATCTATTTCCCGACTCAGGTACTTCATTCTTTTGTCCGTTCGAGGACGAACGGTTGTTTTAGAGGTGGAGAATGTGACGACCCAAAGGTTCATCACCTGTTTTCTCCCTTTTTCCGTACTTCCGAGGCCTTAAAAATCTTATTTTTAGTCGCCTCGATTTGCGTGTGCAGTCCGGGCGTGTAGCCGGAAAGCTTATTTGTTAAATTATATGAAAAATGCTAAAATTTTGTATTAAAATAATTAAAGTGGACTTTGGTCAACCTTTTGGGTAAATGGACTCGGACCCATGATTCGACGGTCCCGGAGGGTCCGTAGAAAAATATGGGACTCGGGCATATGCTCGAAATCGAAATCCGAGATCCCGAGCGCGAGAAATGAATTTTTAAAAGAAATTGTTTTTCTAAAATTAATATGGAAACTTGAGATGAAAATTGATTAGAACGTGTTGGTATCGGGCCCGTATTTTGGTTCTAGCGCCCGATACAGCTCTTATATGTGATTTAAGATGTTTGTGTGAAATTTGGTTGAAATCGGACGTCATTTGACGTGTTTTGGACCTAAATCTCTAAAAATGAAAGTTAAGGAAGTTTGATGAAAAAAGTGATGATTTTGAGGTTTGATTCCTCGTTTATGATGTTATTTTGGCGATTTGATCGCACGGTTAAGTTCTTAGGATGTTGTTGAGTTAGTATGTGTGTTTGGTTAGGAGCCCCAAGGACTCGGGTGTGTTTTGGGTAGGTGTCGGAGTGTTTTTGAACTTAAGAAATTTGCAGAAATCTGTTGTTGCTGGTGTTCAGATAAAATGGACTCTGCGATCGCATACTCCCTTCTGTGATCGCGTAGAGTTAATTGGTGAGGTCCGTTTTTTGTTCTATACAATCGCATGGAATCATCTGCGATCGCGTACCTTAGCCCCCTTCATTCTATGCGATCGCATTACCCTTCCGCGATCGCGTTTGATTAAGCCAAACCTGGAGTGCTCAGCCCTTTTTCTTCTATGTGTTCGCACCAGCTCTTATGCGATCGCAATGCTTTACTCCCCCCCCCCCTTCCCTATGCGATCACAATCCTCCTTCCGCGATCGCATAGAGCATTCTGGCCTAGTGATTTAAAACGTCCAAAAACATAACAGTCGGGTTTCATTCAAAATATACACGAACTCCTTCTTCTCCACAGCTGCTAGGCGACTTTTAGAGCATTTCTTCACCAAACCTTCTTGGGTAAGCATTATCTGACTCGTTTTGTTCATTCTCTATCATCATCTATTGAAATCCGAGGCCTAAAACATGTAATCTAGGGTTGAAATTGGGGGAAATGGATAGAGTTAGGGCTTTTCAATTTTCTTCGATTTAGACCTCGTTTTGGGGTTGAATTTGAAAAGAAATTGTATATTCGGGCTCGTGGGGGAATGGGTGATATGAAATTTGTTCGAACCTCGTGTTTTGACTATGCGGGCCTGGGGTCGATTTTTGGAATTTTTGGAAGAAAGGTTGGGAATCATTATTTAGGCATTGGGTTTGATTTGTTTAGCTATTATTGATATTATAATGTCGTTATTTCATAGATTTGATTGAGTTGGAGCCGAATTCGAGAGGGAAAGCGGTCGTTGTGGATTGATTTAGCCGTGAAAGTTGAGGTAAGTGTTTTGTCTAACCTTAGCTTGAGGGAATAGGAGTAGAGTCTTGTTTGCTAATTGCTAATTGTCGAGTATGGTGTATCGGCATCGTGACGAGTATCTAAACACTGGTGTCTAGCATGACCGTGAGTCCTTATATTGTGTTTACTCTGATTTTGTTGTGACACTTCCATGCTTAATTGATGATTTCTATGTAATGAAAGAGTATGAGAAAGAAATTATGAATTGTAAACCCTTTGGAGAGTTGGCTCGAATGATAAAGTAAATTATAGAGTAAGAAATGAAAGGAAGAGAAAGAGATGTGATTATTCCCTTGCCGGGTTGTTTTCGTATTTTGATTATCTCCCTTGCAGGGATGTGAAAGTTGTTGTTGTTGTTCCCTTGCCGGGATTCAACTGTTTACTTGTGTTTTCCCTTACCGGGATTTCTATTATTATTTGACTATTCCCTCATCCCATTGGTTGTGATTGTTTCTTGGGTGAGGAAGAGGGATAAAGCACGAAAGTTGATGTCGTGCACAATTTGTGTTGAGAATATGTTAATGCACGAAGGAACATTCTGTGCCATGATATGATTACTAATGCACGAAGGAACATTCCGTGCCATGATATGATTACTAGTGCACGAAGGAACATTCTGTGCCATGATATGATTACTAATGCACAAAGGATCATTCTGTGCCATGATAATGAGTGTTAATGCACGAAGGATCATTCCGTGCCATTATTATGTGAGGTAAAGCACGAAGGGTGATGCCGTGTACTTTATTTGATTGTTTTGGTGAAAACGAGAGTAAAAGCACGAAGGATGATGTCGTGCAACTGTTGATTTCCTACACTCGTTGATGTTGTACTTGTACAGTTTCGTTCCTTATTTATTGATTTTATATCTGAACTGGTACAGCCCCTATAGCATGCTCCCCTGCCTCTCGACTGGTTAATTTCTGTATTCCTTTCTTTTGCATATATACATATATTGAACTGCACAGGTTTGTTTGATAGTCTGGTATAGCCTCGTCACTACTTCGCCGGGTTAGGCCAAGCACTTACAAGCAGATGAGGTCGGTTGTGCTGATACTACACTCTGTGCATCTTTTTGCACAGATCACGGTGTCGGAGCAGCCTTTGGACAGCAGTAGCAGATTGGGAGCTGACCTTCAGTCCAGAGACACCGAGGTAGCCTTGCTGACGTCCGCAGGCCTGGAGTCTCTTCTATCTTTATTTTAGTTTGTTATCCTTGTACCGAAACAAACAGAATTATGTTTTATTTTGACATTGTATTTAGCATTCTCTAGACGTTCGTGAGTTTGTGACTCCAGTTCTTGGGTAGAGTTTGTATATTGGATTTCCGCATTTCTTTCAGTTAATTAAATTTAAGACTTCCGCTTTTCTATTAAATGTTTCGTTGTTTTTAATAATGTCGATGTTTGCTAAAAGAGGTAATAAATAATTTGCTTGCCTAGCTCCTAATAATAGGCGTCATCACGACTCCCGAGGGTGGGAAATCCGGGTTGTGACATAATTATCCTTCCTAAAAATCCACAGCGACCTATCAGTAATGCATGCAATTAATTACCTCATCCTCAATGTTACTTCACAATCCACAAGCAGGAAATAATCCACATACAAGGGCATCTAGCCCCAAAACCTCGGGGGTACCAAAATCTCCATACTCATACTCAATTACGCAAATCAAATGGTTGATATATCACTTACACCCTATTATTATGCTGAAGCACTGATATAGAGTTTCTGGCCGCATAACAAAGCATGAACTCGAAAGCCTCAAAACCCAATAACCACCATGCTACTAGTCACGCTCCCGCGAACCAAAACTCAAGGTCCTTTCTGAAAATGCACACTCTTCACATATAACAGTCAACAATGCGAACACCCTATTAATTTTTGATACCTATTTAGAAGAAATCCACAATGTGTAACATATTCCTTATGCCTGTAGCAGCCAGCAGAATCAAGTCATTGCCCAACCCATCAAGAACTCCCCGAGATCCACCCGCACGCAACTAAGCCATCAGGAATGCACCTCCCCAACTCAAACGAGTCACACAAACCGTCCAATCCAAGAGTGTTTCCATAAATACCAGTAGAGAATTCCCACTCAAAAGGTCCATTTACTTCCATTGCTATGTTGACCCAACACTACTAAACTGACTCCTTTCTTCGGATAGTCGATATACAATAACTCCAATCAAAGCCCCATATACAGATGACTCTAGCATTAACCACGTAGCAAGAAACTCATAAACCATTGAATTTCCTCTGAAGCATCTCGTTCTGCCACAACCACAATACCAACGCTGAATAGACCTCCTGTTAATTTGAAGTTGTTCCTCCGACTCCCCTTGTTGCTGATATGTAGATCCATTATTGACGTGGAAATACTGTAAACCCCAACATCATCTCGTGCAAGATCTCAGACTCTGGTCATACCCCAAATCCGGGAACCTACCAATACCACATATACACATACCTTAGGCTAAAACTGATATAAATCTAACTCTGCAATCTGAATGCCGCTATTAGACTCCTCTACTTGGCGCAAATCCATAGAAAACAATGTCTGATGATCCACAAAACTAACCTTCACGGCTCGCACAACAAATATGACAAGTTACTCTAATACCACCAACTATTTCCAATCAACACCCACCTCGTGACCTTGCCACAATTGCAACGACTAGTCAACCAATTAAACATTTCCAAGTTCACACTCATCAACGAGATGTCAAAAACTGTTGCGCCTCCATATGAACAATTGAATAGCCTCTCAATACCTCTATATCTTCAGTCCGGACAGCACATTGAGACAATGCCTGAGCATATCTAACTCCTTTGTAAACCGTTTGTAGCATCACTGACCACTGGCGCATAGCGAACGCTGAGAGCGTAATATTATATACGAGTGGATGTAGAGGTATATAAGTCTTATACTTCGAGCTGAATCAATATCGCACGATAAGGAATGAAAGAAATGGAATTTCCAAACAATTATGTAGCCTCTCGAAGATAAGTACAGACGTCTCCGTACCGATCCGCAAGACTCTACTAAACCTACTTTTGACTCGTAGCACCTATGAACCTAGAGCTCTCATACCAAATTTTCACGACCCAAAATCCCTCCAAAGGAGTCGTGATGGCACCTAGTCTCTAAACTAGGTAATCCTAACATTTACTAAAATAACATTAGCATTTACTGACTTCAAATTAAATAACTCTCAATAAATCACAATTTTCAAAATCGGTGGTACAAGTCATAAGCCTTTCTAAGAGTAGTTATAAAAAATAAATACAACATTGTTCCAGAATGAGAAGGAATCAATAGAACGTAAATACAAACGAAGGTGACTTGAGGCCTGCAGACGCAACAACAGGTTACCGAGAGTCTCCACTGCGACAACCCGTATAGCTACTATCGAACAATACCTGGATCTGTACACAAAAATGTACAGAAGTGTAGTGTGAGCGCACCACGGCGATGCCCAGTAAGTATCAAGACTAACCTCAATGGTGTAGTGACGAGGAACAGTCAAGACACCTACTGGTCAAATGAAATAAACCGGATATGATAAATAATTATTGAGATAAAGATAACGAGGTAATATCAAAAGCGAAGAGAAATCAAAGTACAAACAATAGGAACAATAAAGGGGGAACACGGGTAGTAACGAACAATAACCGTGTAAGTCGGATAACCAAGTAAATCAACACTGACATAACAGAAACAGAGACAAGTAAGAATGTATTCAAATAAAGAAGGCTAACTTAATCAATCACATCATGTCTAGTACACAATCACGACCATCTCAACCCTCGGTTTCTCATATCATAATCTCAACTTCCGAACCTTCAGCACACATGGCACCTTATGCCCCTATATTTTTCATCTCACTTTTAACAACAAATTCCACATGCTATACAATACATAATGTTCGTACAAATGCACTCAATAAGTCCAAGAAGTATCATTTACCTAAAATTACAATTTCTAAACTAATTAGGAAAGCCAGCGAGAAAAAGATGAAGTTGTTTCTTTTGAAATCATTCGAGTAAAGAAAGTACCCCTTTAATTAACATACAACATCGAATGGATTATTACCTTTAACATGAGAGTTAATAACTTAAAACTTAGTAGAGATTTTTTTTAAAATAAAATACAACCTCAGACGGTTTAAGGGGATATAATTAAGAATCTAATTGAATTAAAGATGTAACAATTATTGAAGTTTGAAGTATGGAAAGGCACGCGCGTGTGTGTGTATATATATACATATATATATATATATATATATATATATATATATATACAGTGAGGTATTGAAAACACTGTAGGTTCTAACACAAGGGATTACAACAGTGAAGGAATTTAAACAGTTAAAAACACTTGAAATGATAACAACAAATAAACATAGAAGCAGAAAGTGCACGGCATCACCCTTCGTGCTTTTACTCTCGTTATCACCATAAGAATCAATATTCACTCTTATTCTTTCTTGTTACGGCATGCAACCCGATCCCAATCATATAATACTGTTACGGCGTGCAACCCGATCCAAATCATATAATGATGTTGCGGCGTGCAACCCGATCCAAATCATATAATATTGTTGCGGCGTGCAACCCGATCCAAATCATATAATATTGTTGCGGCATGCAACCCGACCCAACTTGTCCGACCTTATTACTCGTTGTTACGGCGTGAAACCCGATCCCATATACTATTGTTGTGGCGTACAACTCGATCCCATGTAATATTGTTGCGACGTGCAACCCGATCCCAATATACAAATCAACACCAACCGCAAAAGAATCATAGCAGGGAACAATAGTATAACAATAATATCCCCGCAAAGGAAACACTATCATAAGCAATAACATCCCGGAAAGGGAATCAACAAGTACTTAATAAGGGTCACGGAAAAACCAAGAAGCACGGCAACCTCAACAAAACAACAAGACATAATAAGCACGTGGTAACTACACCGGTAACGACAACAATTGGACATGTAACCTATTTGCACGAAGTCATAGAGGAACTCGCAATCAAGAAGTATCAAAACAATAAGGAAGGCAATCACTTCAATTAAGGTAATCAAGGGTCAATATAACACGTAAGAATTAGAGAAAAGCTAACAACATCATATAGAGCATATGGATGCAATTTAAGCAATTATTAAACCCAATCATAACGGGATACCTTCCACATAATGAACATAAGGACCTAAGAAACCTAGAGCAAATTTCCCACAAATAAGTCCTAGCACACATTCGTCACCTCGCATGCACGGTCTACAATTAGCATAGAAGACTCAAATCATAAGGGGAAGTCCCCCACACAAGGTTAGGCAAGATACTTACCTCAAAGATGACAAACTGATACTCTAAAATGCACTTCTCCGGTGAAAAGTATCACACCTCTTTTATTCCCCAACCCTATTACGAGGTTGAGTTAGAAGAGTTTTTCCAATTGAAGTGACGTTTTGAAAAGGGATTATTTATTATTTAGAGTCGCCACTTGGAATTGAGTTTTGGTGTTCCAAGTCACCTTTTATTGAATCCCTTATCAAAAGGAAGATTTGACTCTTAATTTATGGTCTATGAAATAGAAGACTGAGTAAGTAATTCTGTTGACCGAGGGGAAGGTGTAAGGCACCCCTCGAGTCCCGTGATTCTAGCGCGGTCGCTTTATTGACTAATGTAAGGCTTAAATCAATTTTCAGCTATTCTTGTATTTTATTGATTATGGCTTATTTATTACCGCTTCATTTAATTTATTATATTTTTTTTATATTGTTTTGCCCTAGATGCGTTACGCAAAAAAGGTACTTCTTTGAAATTAAATGTTAAACCAAGATACAGAATGTACACGTGGTTATAACATAATTATTTTAAATCTAAAGGCATCGAGACGCGGAATGCGCGCATGATTCCCTTTTTTATTTAAGCGTATCAATCCAAGGTTCGGTACGAACACATGGGCTAATATTTAAAGATACGTCTAAAGTTTTTCTTTTTAAAGAATTAACTACAGCAGCCTGTTACTAAAATGATTTAGGCTGAACACCCATTTAAAATTGTTTATCACTTATACGTTAAAAATCATCATCTCTTTCCATTGTTAAGATGTTAACAAATTTTTAAGTGGTCTAAAAGAAATTTAAGCATTATCCACGTAGTAGAATAATTAAGAATTAGAATACTTCAACAAATCACAAATAGAAACAGTAACTCTTTAAAGAATACAAGGACAAATCGTAATTCCCATGTTTGATTAAAAAAAAACTAATGGCATTGTGATCTTAATCTTTATTAATTAACAATTAATTTTCCTCATTGTATGATTGTCATTATAAGCAAGATACCAGATTGCCTAGGATATTAATATAATCTTACTGGTTCTTATTCAAATTTTCATGAAATAAAGATAATAATAACAATAAGCTAGCTTACAGGGACTTATTTAAAGAGAACAACACATTAAGCACTAAAAAAAATTAATAAAATAAGCCAAACCATCATGCTTTGAGTAAGTTTTTGTTTTTCACTAACACAAACATGCGGACAACACAATAATAAGAGAACAAGAAAAGCTGACAAAGCATAATATTATTAAAGAGCAAAACAACGAAGGAAAGAAGAACGGACCTCTGAAACCTTTTATTATTAAGAAAATCCAAGCAAGCTTGCAGAGCAGTAGACAAAATCAACGTGAGTTGAACTCAAATATAGAAAAAGCAAGAATCTTTAACTAAAATTGGACTGAAAATCTTGTGGGACCTCTCTAACACAACCTTGCCGGAAACATCGTTGCTCTGTGAACCTCGACGCGAAACTAAAATAGTAATAGTTCGCCGGGTGTTTCAATAATGTTTTAGGATTATTTTAACTTTCAGTTGGGTTTTGTGACTGGTTATCGAAGAAAGAGGATGAACCACTGCTATGGGGTATTAATGGTATGTTAAAAATGGTGATTTGTAATGGATTTCATGGCTGAAAATTGTTGCCTTTTTGTTATCAACTCCTCTCTCGTTCTTTTTCTCTAGCTTTTCTTTCTTTCTTTTTTTTGTCTTTTTTCTTCCT